CGGTACCTCCTGCGGCTTCGATGCCTTTCTTCTCAGCCTCAGCCACTGTCGTCGTTACAATGTTAGTTTAGAGCCGGCGGAGCAATGAATGGCAAGACATACGCTTGGCGATGTGGCCGTACAAGGAGTAAAACACGATAGCGACTTTCGGTGCCATTTTTGATTGTTCGGTGGCCACTTCTGTGGTAGGTTCTGTTCCGTTGGGCTCTGTAGGTGCTGGACCGTGTTCTGTTGCAGGAGCAGGAGCTGTAGCAGTAGCTGGGGGTACAGAAGCTGTAGCAGGAGCAGGAGTTTTGGATTCTGGTTTGTTAGACGGTTCGTCTGATAGGATGTCCTTCTGGCGTTTAGAGGGGAAGCACATAAGCTGCTTAAATAGCGGACCGAGCTTATAAGAGGGCCACTCAGGAACCGATGGGCATGGGGAGATGCTGACAACAGAGAAGACTGCTAACGTGAATTCTCTTGGGTCAGCATGAGGAGAAATAGGTAGCGTAACAATCGCGGTGACATCACCACGCGCATACACGCACTCTCCAAAACATGTCTAACTCCATATCGAGCCATTATTCACAGGCTCGCGAGAGCCCTTTTCCTCTATTCGGTATGGCAGAACGCGTGAACAATTGCGCCATTCACCGGATATTGACCGCTATGGGAGTAACACACGCGATCTAGCCACACATCCGATAGTATGAGACATTCTCTCCTTTTCTGAACGTGTCTTAATAATAGAAACCTTTGTCACTATATCACGTATTTTAGCTGACGTGAATTTTATTGCTCAGAATTGCGACAAAAAGAATTACGAATGACAAGCAACATCTGCTTAGAACAACGGCTCCTCCGCCCAGGATGCCCCCTTCTCGCCCATCAAGTCTTCTCCTCCCCATGCGCCATCATCCTTATTTTTCAACGCCTGCTCAATCAAAATAACACATCAGAAACAACACTTTGAACCCAACAGGCAAAAACGCACCTTGTGCAAGAACTCTTTGCTACGTCCAACCGCTCTGTCCAGTTCCGCCAAGTGGAAAGTCTGAGCCTGTGCCTCCGCCAACACCTGTTCCACCTGCGCCTTCGTGTATTCCGGCACAGGGTCGTCGAATGTCACCGTCCCGTCGGCCGAAATCGTCGCGTGGATGTCATTATCTTCAATCTGCATTCATGCGTTAGTTTGCATGTCAGCTAAATCAGTGTAAATGGACTTGCCATGCTAAGGACCATAGCACGAACTCTCGTCACGTCTGCAATGCCGATGTTGCGACCAATTTCGTGAAGGGAGAGCGTGATATATGTCTCAGTAAGCTTCTTGATACGCCATCGTGGCGCACGCTCCATCGTCTGTTTCAACAGACCAATGTTCCGGTCCTGCACGAATAAAAATAAACATTTACTGTCAAAAGATGGGACAAGAATCAATAAACATACGGTTGTGAACAGCTTTTCTTCCTTTTCGAGTGTCGCGTTGAGGGTATCTTGATCAGATGGGTACGCTCTGACAAGGCCCCCATAAGGCGAGGACTTCAGCAACCGCACAAGGCCCTGATTCGTATACTTTGGCACTGATTTCGTCTGCGTCCACAACCATCAACGACCCATGTCGAAAAATCGATAATTGCAGCCTTACCTTCCCATACAATATCAACTGTACCAGCGTCAACTTCTTCAACGCCTCCATCTGCACCGCCGCCGGAGCTTGAGCAGGCGCACTAACACATATCTCGAAGAACTCCTCCGCGTCCGCCCACCGTTTCAACGCGGCCAACGCCATGCCTCCGGCATAATGATACACGAGATGGTCGTTGTACGTCAAGTCCGATAGGGAGGTGTCGATGGAGGTTATGGGGTAGGAGAGGACGGGGAGGGCGGAGGAGAAGTGCCGTGTGGAGACGCAGGTGCGGAGGAAGATGGGGTGCAGGGTTGTGAGGTGCGAACGCGTGGGTGGGTAGCGCGTTACGAGGTCGAAGAGCGGGGGGATGATTGCTGAAAGCTGGTTTTGGTGGTGGAGTTGAGTTGATGGTATGAGACGAGCGGGTAGTGGACTTACGATGTTGGAATGCTCTGCGGCCTGCACTATGCCTTTCGCAAGCATGGTTACTGGAAGCGCGGCGTAAAACACATTTAGTTTGAATGCGGGGAGTAAGATGGTGTGTAACATACCGCGATCTGGCGCCAAACGCGCTTGTGCCGGGTCGAAACCCCTGCAAAACTCTGCCACCAAAGGCAAATTCGGCACGTTCACCGACGCGTAGCTAAACCTCGCAGACCTATATGTCCATCAGTAAATGTATCCTTTCATCCTCTCGACGGAGCAGACAGTCAATAGTAACTCACAGCAAGTAAAGATACCCCAACGTATGCCTATGGACGTCCAACACCAACAAAGGATCCCGTCCTCCACTCATACAGCTCCCCAAGATCATCTCGCGCGATTCACTCTGCGTGAAGCTGCGTAGGTGTTTGTTCAGTTGGAGGATGTTCGTGGCTGTGGTGATCTCGTTGATTAGCGTGTCGAGGGCTGGGTTGGATATGTTGTTGGTGTTGTTTCCTCCGCCATTACCGCCTCCGCCTCCTCCGCCGTGTTGCGGTGGAGGTGGGGGTGGCTGTTGCTGCTGAGGTTGCTGCTGAGGTTGGGCTTCGGTTTGAGACTGCTGCGATTGAGGTTGTGATTGAGAAGGTCCGGCGGGCGGAGGGTTTGACATGATTTTTGTCTTAGATGGCGCAATGTATCGGAAAAATGTCAGTACATTGAATCGCAACTTCAAAACGTAAGAAAGCCGATGAATCTAAAAGGCAAGCTCGAGAAATACATGGATTGTTCGCCACCAACGACACGGCATGAGACGCTCGCGAAACACGAGTCACGTCCATGCAGCACACGCCGTACGCCAATGGAAGAATCCATGACGCGAGTTTCGTATACCATCTAGATGCAAAGTCAGCTTACCTCGATATGACGGCGCGCGCAACAAGCCTGATTCACGGGGGGATTGGGATGGAAATTTCTTGATTGTCAGGAAGAGAGCGTCTAACGAAGTTGATGCTTACATAATGATCATTGGCGCTTCTTCTGGCAAATGGCTCGATCAAATTGAGTCGGAGGTGGGTGGGCCGAACACTTGGAATACGCTCTTTTCGACGCTCAGCAACGCATATTTTCCGAATTTCCAGTTCTGAATCGGGAGTTGTCACGGTGAAGTGTTCTAATCTTTTCGTTTGTACGTCCTAATAAATTTAAAAGATGCTTCTCTGATAACCTAGGAAGTAAAGCGCAGCCAGAACCCTTAAATGTGCTGGGAACACCAGCGGTAATACAATCTACTTGTGCGTTCCAGGGTGATAATGAAAAGGGACTCTAGATTAACTGCGCATTTCGTTTTACATCCGTATTACGCAAAATGGGTTGATCAAAAAATTCACAGTATAACGAGAAGTGTTTACAATTTCAACTTGTACTGGCATGGTCTTCATCTCGAATTGCTCTAATATCCGTCTAAAAGTGAGCTCCACGTGGGGCACTGGCCCATTGACATACGCAAGTGATGAACGATGATTCCAACGGTTTATTTGACAATGAATTGAACGTCTGAAGAGCTCAGACTCGCGGACAAATCGTCAAAGAACCTCTGTTTAGCGGCAGCGCCATATCCATCGTCCCAAAAATCCACCCTTTCGAAAATAAGCTGGGTATTCATGATACTGATGGTAAGAGGCATCAGTTGGCGCATAATAAGGGGTCGGAGGTGGGCAAAAAAGAAATCTCTAATGGTTGAGAACGACACACCCGTGTAGTCCATATAAGTGCTGGCAGGACGACAGAATATGTATACATGGGTGAGAGATTCATGGTGACCAACGTCTAACCACGAGTTTGGGAGAGAATAGAGAGTCTTGAGGTCCACACCATAAGAAAATGTCTGCAATTTCGGCACGCTGGCGAGTATCCGCGGAAAGTCATCATTCCTGTATTCCCCCAGATTCATGACATGAATTGACCGAATTGAGTTCCTGCATTTGCTGAGAAGTCGTTCGACATGTTTCCAGTTACACCAATCCAGCGTCAGGTGAGAGACGGATGGCAGATCCCAACGAGATGCAGCTTTAATTGTATGAAACATGCGGACATCCAGATGAGCTATGAAAGGGAATGCGACGTCGACCCCATCTTCCGGTGTGATGGTTATTACGTTGGCTAGGTAAAAATTGCGAAGAGCTGTGCGATTCCGCAAGGGCTGAAATGACCTCTCTAACGAAATTCTTTGCCATTGGAGTGTGGTGATGGTCAACGGAAGGGATGCCAGCAGCGGCGCCGATCGATCAAGTTCCTCGATACTCATCAGCCTGCCTATTGAATTCAAACCAAATGCTGCAAGATTCCTGCAAAAGGGGAATATTTTCATCAACGGCCGATCCACAGAGTAATAATCGATGTCCGGCTTGGGTTCCAAGGAGACTATGATATAACTAATCCATTTTGCAGGTGATTTTGCCTTGTCAGTGTCTGAGGTGTGTGACAGGATCGTGTCCAAGAGCAGCTCAGCATTGCGAGTGTGAAATAATTGGACGAGTTCGAACAAGTACACGAGAGACATCTCCCGAAACTTTTTCGAAACCAGGGTAAGCGCCTTTTTGGTGGGTAGTGTGGATCGGTAACACAGCGCGGGGTCAATGGTCTCCGGCGAGCTCACGTACGGCCAAGGATCCCAATCCATCACGTTGAGGGACGTCGCTGTGAAGGTGGCGAAAGCAAAGATGTTTCTCCATATTTCAGGAGGAAAATGGGGATCCATGTGGTGGTTGAACAGTGGACACGAGCCTGAACGAGGGTGAAGGATGTCAGCAAGTAACATTCCCACCAAATCCGACTTCTTACATACCCGAGAACAAAGTTGTGCACTGGAAAAAAGCTTTAGAGCATTCCGTGCCGCGTTTGGAAGGACGGCTGTGACTCGTTGTCAAAATTATGTAATCAGTCACGAAAAAGTCAAACGACAAAAGCATGGATGAGAGGCGAATCGAACACCTGACTTTACGCATACACGAAATGCGAAGCGCACACTCTACCAACTGAGTTACACACCCGTTTCACACGGTCTCTGATTCGCTGTCCGTTATATGAAGAAACGTAGGATGCGAAGGTTGAGGAGGATTGACAAAAAAAGGTCATTTTTTGCATTTTTTTTTATACATTATGCATTTTCCGTCACTAATACTACTCCTTTTGATTCTTCTGTCATCCCCCAACACCCTCCGGACACGAAGAGAGGTCGAGAACCACGGTTTCCCTCGTTTACAGGCAAACGGAAGTCAGAAAGTGGCTGACGCCACATTGGTTTAAACTCCGACACGCTCAGCCACAGTTGCCACCGAATGTTTTACCTCGGTCATCCGACACTATCGTACAGCACCTACGGTGTGCGTGATGCCGCAAGTATTCAACAAGGAGGTCGAGAGATTTCACAGGCGCTCATTACTAAAGAAGCCACACTTGCCACAATCGGAAATCAACGTTTTTTCAAACCCCGAATGTTCGTGTCAAGTACCATCCACTTGCCCAATTCTCGAGATATCGACCTGCTCAGATCCGCGAATATATCGCCGAAGAATACATTTCACCATTTGCAACGATTTCTCAAAGTTGCACCAATCCAACGCGCCGCTACACGCGCGATGCCACGCGATGACACAACACACTTCAACGTCTCAAGTCTCGATAAAGCGACGAACAATGTGTTTATTTTTGCATTCTAACAGTCTCTGGTTGACCTTCTCCTCGTACGACGGGAATCCAAGCTTTCGACGCGCTTCCGTTTATTTTTAGTTTCACCTTCGAGGACGATGACAGCGACGATCATTGGAAGCCTCATCTCCTCGAAGAACCCATCCAAACCATCGCCTTCTATCTGAAAGTCTTCTGGGCTAGATTCTATCCATCAGAGAAGATTATAGGATGGATCTGGAGCGTGATGGAGGTCGGAACAGTGGCTCTGACACGGTGTTCGCGTCTGGTACGGTGAGCATCCTTCATTTCCTATCCACCTTCAAACTCTACATGGTGACTGATAAATCAATGCCATGTTTTTGAGGTAGCATGTCGCGCTCTGCACATCAAATCAAGGTGGATAAGGAGCGGATGCGGAACACACGCACGTCGGTCGTATATACACTGGTAAGCAATTTACAAACAATTTTCTCCGCGTAAACCTCACGTGTTCGTGCAGTGTTTTGTACATTAGAAGATTCTGAATACAATGCGCGATCTTGCTGTACTCTTATGCGGTCCTTACTTGCTCGGACACCGCCTGCATGACGGATGCGCGGAGCGGCCGACCGGATCAATCACGTTCGAGGAAATCGGTCTGCCCATTGTGGATTGTGGCGCGCCGACGGCGGCACCACGTGGAATGACGTCCAGCGATAGAGACGCGTCGTGGTAAAGACGCGTCTGTCACTCAGACAAACTCCTTATCATGCCTAGTCAACAGTCATCCCATCGCGCGTTCAACAAGCCGCTTCACGCGCCAAATGACATGGACGACATGCAAGAAAGTCAGGCTGGACCCAGCAAGCGCCCAGCGAGCGCCATGGACCTGGGCAGTGATGCGAACGCGCCAGTAAGAAAGGTTCGTAATGATGTTCGGAATGAGACCGTGACTGAGAGAAGAGCAGAAACTGACGACGACACGTCCTCCTACTGGACAACTTGGCGGACGTCGATGCAAGTACGGACTCCACCATGGTCGTCAAGTCGGTTGTGAAGAAGTCAAGGGAATGCGACTACATTGCGCCCATTTCTGACAACAGCGCCGTCTGGACGCATCTCCAGCCTGCCATCAATCTTCTCGCGGACTGCGCAGTGAACCCCTTCCAGATCGACGTCGATCATTGGATTAGCGAGGGAGTGTTAGTCGAGGTGGACGACGCCATCAACAATTGCGTCGCCGAATTCTACTTGCGTATCATCACATTTCCGAACAAGATTGCACTCTGCAACGCCATCCTCAAGTACATTGCCACCTTCCCCGCAGACCTCTCTGTGGCTATTCTTTGGCTGGCGATTCTAGGTCACCCAGCAGACGATATCAAGTCGGCTGTCCGGTCGTCACTCCTCTCAAGGGGGTATGCTCTCGCGGCTGATGAGCTCGTCGGTTTACTTGGCAAAGACGACCTCGAGACGCTCAACCTGGGCATCAAGCAGGATAGCCCCGTTTACCTTCCATACGCCGGTTTCACGATCGCTGGTGGTCCGAAAGCGCGCCTCGAGGCTGACCAACTTGACGACTGCCGTCGATTTCCAAATTTCTTGTTGACAATGGATTCCGATCTGTCTATCACTACCTACCGCTTCGCAGGCCTCGATTATCCTGCTCCAAGCCCTTTATGCTATCGCACCGACCCTATCATCGGCCAAATTGAGGCCACTTGCATCGACGCCCTATGTACCGCAACGCTCAACTCCAGACGGGGCGGTATTCCGGACTCGGAGTACCTTCCCCCAGCAGAAATTGCCGCGGTTGTTATCAAGATGCTTGAATGCTACCCTCGAATCTCATTAGAAAATTGTGCCACCACTGACTCTCTACTCACCCATTCTCTCCGCGGACTGCACGACGACGAGTTGGACGCCCTTACTTGCAATATCCCAGAATACAAGCCGATCTCTGCAAAAGCTTTCGAAAACATCAAGAGAATGTCCGCCGACATTGTTCGCAAGGTCGATGGAGCAGTGCTCACGGTGGATCTCGGCAAGGATATCCCATTCGAAGAATCGTCTGGTCGGTCCGGCGGGATCTATGATGAAGATATCGGCGAAGGTTTACGGCTGCAACGACACATAATGTCCCTCATATATCCGGACATCCCCACAACGGGCTCACTGGAAGACCACACTATTATTCAATTCTTTGGTCCTTTTGTGGACTTCTGGAGGCTCGTCAGCAAAGGATTTATTCATTGGTCAGCTGCTTATCTGTCGCGCTACCTATGCGTTCTTCAGCCGCTTGTGATCGTCGCATTCTCCGGTCTTGTCAATACGATGCTTCGAGGAGGATCTCTCGCTGACGTCTGGTCTAAATGCGAAGACAACGACACTCGGGGTTCTTTCCTTGACGGTAAATCCCCAGCAAATCTTTCCGAATTTTGCCGAGACAATGAAGAAACCTTCTTGCCTAAATATGAAGGCAACTGATTCCTCTCTTACTATCAGTACATTATTGACAATTTCACAGGTGATGGTTTCACAGATGTCCTCGGAACTCTTGCACGCATTTCTTATGGGTCCAAACCTTGGCAACAATGCCTCACTATTGCCGCTCGTGATCCAGGATCAGAAAAGTATGACCCGGTCCTTGCCCTCCTTCGTCTTTTAGTAAAGTACTTGGTCCAGGCCAAAGCAGAATTGCTGAAGCGTGTCGCTGCCCGTCGACAATCAACGAACCCGTTTCCGGTTGAAGGGGACAAGGAAGCTGTCGTGGCTTGGCTGGACGCCGTTCGTTCCGAAGTGGACGGGCATACAGCTGAGCATGGCTTTGAGGACAAACTCCAATGCGCCATCGCCAATCTCCGCCAGAGAGTGAAAGTTGTAGCCATTCTACGCCTCGCAAAACTGGATGATGGTCTGCCAGTTCCTGTGCCGGTTGCAAGGGGTCCGCTTAAGCCATCACGACACCACGATGATCCCTACTATCATGCAGCACCGGCTGGTAAACAGCGAGAGGCGCAATATCAGCAAATTCTCGTGAGGGAGCGCGAGCGCGAGCACGTTCCTGGCAACACATCACCCATTATCCCATTCGGAATGACCCTCAACAGCATCGAATTCCGTAATCATATTTTTGGGCTTGCAGACGGAACGTACCTGATCGCCTCTGCAAACTCGTACGGCAGAACCCCCGAGGCGCAGGCAAGGGTAGCAGAGAACACGGCCGCTCTTGTCAAACACAATGTTCTCCAAGGCAAACTGCGAGACAAGGTGCGCGCCGTGATGGAGAACGAAGCTCTTTCCGGTCTTTTGGCCGATGCTCTCAAGGATGTAGTGGACTACGAAACTCACGCGTTGAAAACTCCTAAAGCGATTGCTAATACCTGGCGCTGGACAACGTGCGGAAATTGCAATGGAGTCCTCGTTGCACTGGTGAGGAATCACAAACACCGCTGTGAGCAAAATGACTGCGAGGCACAGGAGATCACGGCTGCACATGTCTCTGGCCTGCAACGACTACTCTACCCCCATGACATTCTCGGGAATGCCATCCTTGCTCCACTTTTGCAGTCAACTCCTACCGAATTCAATCTCACCTCCGTCTCCGTCCGCGACTTCTTGCAACAACATATTCAACTCCTGCCCGCTGTACACCGCCCATTGGAAGACATCCCACCTGAACTCGCTGTCTTCGTTCGCCCTTCCTATAGTATCGACTTTATATTAACGATGTGCATCGACGCCGGTTATCCTTACCTAACGACTTGCCAGGCTGACCCCGACGCGACGAATGAAAGCGACCGTAACCGCCCTTGGGAACCACAGAAATTTGAACCAATATGGAAAGCGATCAGGAACGGGACAAAACTGTATGTCTCTAAGTGTCGCTGTGGGTTTTTGGGTATTGGGATCAAAAAGACGCCGAGGCATATGGGGAGGGACTGTCCCTATTCAGGTGCTTATGGACAAGCTTGGAAGCCCGTATACAGCTACACCATCACCTCGTTCTTCGAGTTTCCGCGCTTCTGGGCTAGGAGGCTGTTATAATATGGACGAGTCGAAGGTCGTGCGGGCGGTTTAGATATTTTGGCATGGTAGTGGATATATGTTTCATAGTGTATTTTGTTGTGCATCGAGAGTGCGGAAGAAGACAGCGAGAAAAACCAAAAAACCAAAAAGTTCCACAAGTTACAAAGAAATAACATACCCAAACACACGAAAGGAGGGTGCCATGGACGTCTCCGAAGTGATCTATGTCTGTGCTGAAGCCAGGGAAGTACGTTGATGATGTCGAGGAGCAGCAGGAGAAGGTCTGTGGCGGTGACTGTGAAATCACTATGTTTAGTGGGGTTCCCGACTGTCAAACTACACGAATACACTC